CAACACATCCAATCCGGGAAGAAATTGCACACGCATGCTAACAGAATGAAACCTGCAATCGCTAGGCTGGAATTTGAGCCACCGGAGGCAGGAGAAGATAGAATAGATGTACAAAACGCAAATTTGTCACCCCAAACTGTAGCGCAACCGCAGACAGAACCAGTCGACCCCTGGGATGAGATCATCTTCGAAGCATTGCAGCAGAGACAGACAAACACTACAAACACTACCAGAGATGCGGAGGCTGGTCAACCTCAGACCTCGGCGCAACCTGCGCATCACTATGCACTCCGAAGTCAAGGACCAGTGAGTGATTATCCCTGGGTCCTTCCTAAATCATCGGGAATAATTCCGCCGAAAGTGACGATGGTGCGAGACGCGGACGTTTCCGTAACTCAACAGGATGAAAGTCTCCCGCGCTTGCCACCTAACACTCCAATCGGATTATTCACCAATTGTAAATGGTAGCTTCTCTTTCTTGCAAAGAGAGGATATCATCTTCCAAATGGAGAGAGGTCCGTTGTAAATACGCGTGCGCATTTAAACAAATTGTCGCGAAACCGGAACTTTAGTAATGTGAACTCTTTTTGATAGATAATGAAGGTGAATCCTGTAAATTTTTACTCGTACTTGTTGATAACATACGTCGTATGCAAGGTTTCGACGATTGTACCCGCATTGACGAAAGGAATTATATTTCTACCTCAGGGAAATTTTCTCATGACCACGAGTCAATGGACTATGGTTGTAGAGATATCTTTTGAAGAATACGACAATTATCTCCACGATTTACACCGTCACCTGACCTCCTTAACTCCTGTTGTTAGAAAGGGAAAACAGAGGCAGGATGATCCCATGCAACCCCTGTGGTCTTTGGCCGACACCGAACTGACAAACTTACGACAATCTCTCGCCGATTTCAAGATGGAGTATAAAGAACTAAAATCTACGGTTACTATAAGTAATCCTAGCCGAAAGAAACGAGGATTAATTGACGTCGGAGGAAAAATTTTAAAATTTCTCTTTGGAACTGCTACTTCACAAGAAGTTGAAGCAATGAATAGTCGGATAGACAAAATATCTCGAAACCAACAAAAAATAGTGCACGTGTTAGAAGCACAGACAACAGTCATAAACCAAACCCTTCAAGCTGTCAAGGACAACCGGAAGTACATTGACATGATGATTCGTCGACAGAATTATTTAGATAAAGAACTCAAAATTTTCAGTTACACATTCATCGTTAGTACGGCCCTTCGTTATGCAGAAAATGCGGTAATGGAATTTCGAATTGGCATCACCAATTTAAGGCAAGCAGTTGAGATGCTGGAGAACGACCGACTCAGCTCTTATTTCCTGCCAAGGTCACAGTTACTAACAATACTAGAGGAAGTAAACAAACACTTACCCGCAGGGATTTCGCTAATCGAGACGTTAAACGAGGATAACGTCTTCAAATATTACCAGTGGATCACTACCACAGCGGTAGCACTCCCATCAACGCTGAGGATTTTTGCAAAATTTCCGTTAATCACTCCCGAAGGATATTTTGATCTGTATGAAGTCGTAAAGTTTCCCGCATATTTCCCCGTTTCAAGAGCGTTTGCCCACTATCAAGTTGATTACCCTTACATCGCCTTGTCAAGAGATCGACAACTCTATATGCTGTTAGAAGCTCACGACCTACAAAAATGCAAGACCGACTAACACCCATCTGCGCTCCGGAAGTCGCAGTTTGGAAACTCCCATATCAAGCTTGTGAATACGCATTGTTCATGGCTGACGAGCCAACGGTAAACAAACTCTGTAAGAGAAGAGTTTCAGTTTATCCTAAACCGATGTTCCGTCGCATCGACGAAGAGGGAACTTGGATATATTCTACCCCCTCACCTTTAAATTTGGTTATCGAATGCAGTCAAATGGGCAACATCCAGCAACCACCAGTCAAGATGATTAAGCTGAACAACACAGGAATCTTTAAATTGCCTATGACTTGCGTCGGTCACGTACCAGGCGTGCGTCTGACGTCACATTTCCAGTCACGGACTTCTTTTAAAATTGCACTTAGAAACCATTACGTAATTCCAGCAATAACGGATGTTCTCAATCTTACGGAAACGAAGATTTTGCGAGATTACATCCAAGAGAACGCTACCTCGAGCATCCTCCGAACCAATGAACACGATTGGTCATTGGAGTTTTCAGGACGGATATTACGAGATATAAGCCAAGAAATAAACTCCGTTAAAACAGAAATCCTTTCACCAACTCCAGATGTGCCAAACTTTTCATTTTCAACGTGGAATCTGATCCTCGTAATCCCCATCGTTGTTTTATTAACGGTAATTTTAATTGTATGGAAATGTCGCAAACGGTCGGGTTGTCGGAGAAATCAAAGACCGACGATCACGTATCCACCTCTTCCAAGAGAAGAGCAAGTGAACTTAAAACCCGCGGAAATGATTGAATTGATACCGATAGCTATGAAAGCCGGATCATCTTTAAACACTCCCGATGCAATAGAGTCCGAACGAGAAGGATTAACCGTAACAGAACGGGTAGAACCTATGACATTTCCTATCGGATTCGAAACGATTCCCACTCAATTGAGACGGTTATAAAACCGCGAGGAGAAGTCGTACCTCCTAAAACGGTAGCATCTTGTAATATTTTGGTTAGAGAATCGAGACTCAACCAAGACTTTTTCCTTTTATATAGACTTGAAAACAATGGAAGAACACCAAGTTACGACAACACCAACAAGGACCCTTCGTCAAGAGCAAGGCTCGACTAGAAATCCACTTCCAGATCCAGATCCAGCTCTATTAGCCTTACTGGAATGTCCAGTTTGTTACGATTATATGTAACCACCTACCTTTCAATGTCCAGCCGGGCACACGGTATGCTCTCGCTGTAAGGCGCGAGTAAGACAATGCCCTGTCTGTCGTGGAGAGTTAAGAAACTACCGCAATTTAACATTAGAAAAACTTTTGGAAATTATAGCCCTGCCCTGCGCCTACAAAGATAATGGATGTCCGGAAATTCGTCTCTCTAAGGATAGAAAAACCCATGAACAGTTTTGCCCCTTCAGAACGTGTTCTTGTCCCTCTCTGGACGACACCTGCAAATGGGAAGGCGTCTATCAACAGATGGTCCCTCATCTGACAGAAAAACACCCAGGAATAAAACATTTAAACCACAACGCTGTTAAGATGGCCCTCGTAGGGTTGGAAGAAACCCAACCTCTCACTTGGGTGGCCCGCCTTCATTGTTTCCAACGAGATTTTCTGATTCAAGTTATTAAAACGGAAAAAGAAGACGAAAACTCTCCTCTCCATATTATAGTTCGAAATGTAGGAAGTCGCCGGGAATCAGGACTATTTAGAGGAAAAATCGAAGTCCGAGGGCGAGGGAAACTTATGCTATGGGAATCTATAACCCGGAGTGTAACTGGAGACCTGAAATTTTTAATCCGAATGAGAGACTGTATGACACTGAGCATACAAATGTTAGAGCGAATGCTCGAGGACAAAGTTCTGACCGTCATCGTGACGATCTTGCCCTCGTGCACTCGACAAATAGTCGAGACGTCTGAACCAGACACAGAAGGGAGAACACAGCTCGAAGAAGAAAGAGAGGAGAATCCACTCGCGGAAATTTCTCAGTAAACCTAAAGGCAGCGCGAGACGAGAATGTATCTTTTTGGAAAAAAAATAAATAAAACGCAAATGTTTTAAGGAACTAGGACGCACTGCTGGACACTAAACCTGTTTCCTTTTGTGTTAACAGAAAAGGCCATGGCAGAGTCATCGGGATGGTGGGACTCTGAGGAAACAGATTTTGACTGCGCTCTCTCTCTCTTCCAACGGTCAGGGGAGGAAAGACGAATGGTGAGCCCTACACCTGTTCGACACGCCGTTCAGCGAATTTTAAATTCTCCTGACGCAAGGTATCCAGAACTGCTCATCCTGCCCCAGGAAATGGACGTTCCGTCGGACCTGCAGCGAGAGGTCGAGGAGGCGGTGACCTTCGCAGCTGAGAGAGCTCAGAGCCTGCAGGAAACGACACCCTCGTCTCTACCCGGACCAGATATTAGGGACCGTGAAGGATTTAGATCTTCGAGTTCCGTAACAGATAGAGCTTTTTCACCTCAAGTCCGCCAAGGAAGAGGGCGAGGTCGAGAATTATGGGAAAGATCACAAAGGATTTCGCAGGAACAGGAACAACGGTATCGTGCGGCGGGAAGAGCGAGAAGCCGACACCCGCCACGCCATTAGACAAAACAGGGAACCCGTTTGTCAGGAGGACACTCCAAAAAAACAAAAAAAAAAAAAAAAAGAGATTGAGAAAAATGCGTTAAACTGGGACAAAATATTATTATAGCCTATATGTTTTATACCTTAAATTCAATTTTGTAATCCATTTTTCATTTTATTTTTTTTCTTATGTTATATCTGCTATTAAATTTTTTTGACTTATACAAATTTGTTTTATTTGACAACCAATTCGTATACTTAATCGACGGGAAGGAAAGGCTTAGAAAACGTGCGAAAAAAAAAGAACATTTTCGAATGGTCATAAAAATTAAATTGTAGCAAAAAAAAAAAAAACAATTGAAGTTTTCTTCGATCAAATGATCTGTTGAAAAAGAAAACATTTCGATGTAACGCGAGATCAAACACACGTGAAAGAATAACAAAATTGTAAATCATTGTTGATATTATGTCACTTCTGTAAAGACNTGAGGAAACACGCATACTTATCCTTTTTTAATCCCATTCCCGATAACCCGGCATTTTCACAAACTCGGCCACCCTTCGGTCCACATTAGGCCGAGTTTTCGAGGCTCTACTGTATAAACAGTGTAAATTATTCTAGCTATGATCGCCTTGTTCATAATTTTAGTTCTTTTAGGTAGATAGAGCCAGTTTTCTGTCCATTGTTCGATAGAATTGTTTATTTTTGATTCCATTTCAAACATATTTATTTCTCTGGCATCTCTTCGATACCATATACCGAACATTTTGGTTGTGTGTACTGTTTCAATTGCCACTTGGTCATTTGAAATGTTTCCGATAATGTTTAAGAGTTTACATTTATTTTCATTTATTGACATTCCAGTAAACCGGCTAAAGTTCTTTAGTTTTAACAAGACTTTTTCAAGGCTGAATCTGTAGCCTATAAGAAAATTTATGTCATCTGCATGTGCCAATAATTTGATTTTATCGTTCATACCAGAGATATGAATGGGTTCAATCATATCATTGTAAATTATGCTTTTTAGTAAAGCTTCTATATAAAACACAAACAAGACCATCGAACTGGGACAACCCTGTCTCACTCCTGCGTAGCAAATTATGTCTTGAGATTTCTTATTGTTAATGGTGACGCATGTTTTCAGCATATGATATAATCTTTGGATAAACCATAATTCTTTCTTGTTGAAACCAAATTTGTCTAGGATTTGCCAAAGTTTTTCCCTATTAACTGTGTCAAAAGCCTTTTTAACATCAACTGATAATATGGAGAGAGGGTTTCTTTTTTCTTTATAGATATCTGCGAGGTTTGCCGATTGGGGAGAAAGTGTCGCGACAGTCGAGCGGTCAACACCGTCACGTGGGCGCGGAGGAACTCACAGAGACAGGTTTTCCCATTTAATAACATCAAAAATAGTTTCTTACGAAAACTTTGAAACGTCAGGATCCCGGTTGCAGCGATTATATAATAGTCCAACAAGGTAATGTCCTTTGATCTCAGGCTTCCGATCTTGGGCGTCCTCATATGGGTTGATGGTCACTTGTCGACCCTGGTAAGCGTTTCTGGATTTCCTTCGCCGGCTGTCGCCCTCATATGGTGGTTGCTATCTGAGGCACGTAAATCCTTTCTTAACTTCCTAGTGCTGCACACACGACCAAAGGGGGGAGTCACTAACTAGACATCCAAGCACCAAGGATCAAGAACGTCACATCCTTTTTTCGCACAGTTTTTATGTTTTTTCTGGATCCCAGATCGAACATTCCTATAGGTCGATGTCCTACTGCCCCCGTTCTCTAATTGGTCTCCCCTCCTCATTACGGATTGTAACGGGATCGGAGCCCAGATTGCGGGGTGAGTCACCCCCGACTGACAATTTGATTCCTATCGAAGATGTTCGATCTAAGTACTCAAATTGATCTATTGTTTCTTTCTGAGAAATTCGTTTTTTCTCAGAAATTTATACAGATATGACGTTATATAGGCATAATATATTCACTTTGTGTTTGATGGTTTCTTTTTATAATATAAAATAATAGTTATTATTATAAAATTCTTTTTATTTCATACGAAATTAAAATATTTTCTGTGCTTGGATTTCAACCCACTTCCGGAGCCTCACATATCTTCTAATATTTGAATGAAAGTAGTATTATTTTGAATGGTTTTTCTTTTTATGCCTGCAGTCTGTGTATTCGTTATAATATCTTTAAAGAGTGCTTCGATTCTTTTTGCAATTATTACGCTATAAATTTTGTAGTCAGTGTTTAGAATGGTTATAGGTCTAAAATCAGTTAACTCTTTCCCTAAGCTATTTTTCTTGTGTATAAGTATCATTTTACCCTGGCTAAATAGATTAATGAAGTCATTCAAGTTAAATATTACCTGTAGCTTATCACTTAAACTTTCCTCAAAGAATTTATAAAATTCCGCTGGTAGAAAATCTCTGCCTGGAGACTTACATATATTTAAATCGTGGATAGCGTTCTTAATTTCTTTAGTAATTTTTTTGTTAATTATATCGGCTTCTTTTTTTTATAGGAGTAATCCATTGAAGGATGTCATCCTTTGCTGAATTATTAGAAATTGGATTACTAAATAGATCTGAATAGAAATTGTGAAATCTTTTTATTATTTCTTCTGAGTCCGTAAATTCAATTCCATTACGTATAATTTTGTCGATCTCAATACTCTCCTTTGATTTGTTTTTCTTCTCAAAAACTACTCTCTCTGCTTCTCGTTTAATCTTGTATTTATTCACTATATATCGTATGTAATTTTCTTTGCATTTCTTGTCAAGTTCCTCAGTAATCTGTTTTTCTATCATTTTTATCTCCTGTTGTTTATTGTCGATTATTTTGTTTGTTAAGTCCCTCTGTAGTCTTTTGATTTTATTAAGTCTTGTTTTTTTGATTTTCTTCCATGTTTCATTAATAATATTTTGGCATTCTTGTTTTAGTACAGTCCATTTGTCCTATGTGATATCGTTCTTGAAAGCCTCTAGCTTATTAATGATTTTATTTTGGAATTCAGAGTTATCTAATATTTCTTTTGTTAGTTTGACTTTATCTCTTCTTTTTCTATTAGATCCTATGCAAATCTCTAGTTCAATCATCTCATGATCAGAATGTTTTCTTTTGTCCACTGTTAATTCGTATTTTACTTGATTTTTAATATTACCTATTATTTCGTTGATATAGAATCGATCTAGCGTTTCACAAACACCTTATCCCTCCCAAGTGTATCCTGGACCATTTGGATATGCTTTTCTGTAGATGTCTATTAAGTTATAATCTTCCAGGAGATTTTGTAGTATTTGGCATGAGCCGTCTGGATGCAAGGGTTTGTTTTTATCTATTGTATTTAAAACACAATTGAAGTCTCTGCTAACATTAAATCACGCCCTCCGCAGAGATAATTGGGCATTTTATTAAACATTTCTCTTCTTTGTGACGCTTGAGTCGGTGCATATATATTTATTATCTTAATACTATGTCAATATCTTCTTTTCATACAATAATGCCACTCTTTGGTTTTTCATTTCCATTATTTGTTATTATTCTCCAGTTATTGTAGCGTACTATTTTGTTATTTATGGTATGTGGTCATTGTATAGTTATAATATCAATATCTAGTTCGTCTGCAGTTTTAATCAGTAATGAGCCAGCCGCTTTGCTACGCTAAATGTTAATTTGCAATATCCTTATGTTGTTTCTTTCATTTTGCATATGCTGTGTTGTTGATGTTGATTGGGTGTTATCTATTGTATCATTATAGGCCATAATCAGTTCTTCTTATTGTTGCTTCTTTTATTTTCTTGGGGATCGGACAGTCGGGTGAAACGCTCCGTGGTTGGTTGGTTGTTTTTTTACTATTCAGTAATTCTTTGTTATTGTAGTGGCAATTTATACAACACGGTGGTTCATGTAGTCTGTTGCATTCTGAGAATTTGTGTTCTTTGCCACAATGGCTACAGTGTTGATTTTTAATACAGGCAACCCCCGTATAACATGGCACTTCTATAGCACGGATTCACTCTAACACGGTTCGAGAATTGGTACCACCCCCTTATAACACGGTACTGTTATAGCACGGATTCACTCTGACACAGTTCTAGAATTGGGTAAAACCCTCGTACAACATGAAATGTAATAAATTTTTACATACTTAAGTACTAATAATTCACGAAAATAATAATTTTCGTGAACTATTAGTACTTAAGTGTGTAAATTTTCTTTTCTTGCCTTCTGTCCATACACATGGTCCTTCTCGAAACTTGTTTCAATATTGCTTGATCTCGATGCTTCTGCTTCTGATGTTGCCAGATGATTTTCCCTTATTCCATACTTGCTTTATTCTTCATAAGTGCTTAGCACCATATGAGGAAGCTTATAAAGATATTTTAACTAGAAGCAAGCAATCTAAAATTAGATTCATTTTGCAAAAGATAAAGCATGGATCTGAAGATAATGCAGAAAAATGCTCAGAGAATAAGGATAACTTTCCGTTTTCTTTTTGGCAAGTTATCCTTGGTTAATAGTGCTTTTAGTGATAATGAAGAAAACATTAT